AGAAGTTCAAGACACAGCCATCGGCAGGGAAAGTGATGTGCATGGTCTTTTGGGATAGGCGGGGTGTGATTTTGTTGGATTTCCTTTAGCTGGGTGAGACTGTCAATTCTGAACGCTACAAGATGATGCTGACTAAGCTGAAGGCCCACATTTCCCTAGTCAGGCAAGAGAAGCAGACAACCTTTTGCTTGTAACATGATAACGCTAGACCCCATACCAGTTTGGCAACCACTGCACACATTGCAAGGTTTGGCTGGACTGTCCTACCACATCCACCTTATAGCCCCAATTTAGCCCCTTCACACTTCCATCTCTTTGGGCCTATGAAAGATGGACTACGTGGGCAACATTTTCCAGAGAACGGTACTGTCATTGCAAATGTAAGAAAGTGACTAGCCTCTACTTGCGCAGACTTTTACGGGCGCGGCATACAGGCTCTTGTTCATCGCTGGCAAAAGTGCATAACGAATGGTAGTGATTATGTGGAAAAATAACTGTAAGTAGCTGAAATCTTGCTGTATTTAACTGTGTTATTATGCTTTCTGTATCTGTTGTAGTTTTCATTAAAAAAATAGTAGGCATTATATACAGAATGCTCCTCGTATATGAATGTCATGGTTAAGAGACCCATTTTACTGTATTTTCTGCCTCTGTTCTTCTTGGATTCTGCCTCTGTTCTATATATCTACAACATTGTAAAATCAAATTGTTGATATAAATGTTCATTAAAATGTGTGAAATGTTTGGTTTTCTCATGTTCAGCTTCAGTTCGTTTTGGTGTATGCTAACAGCAGTGTGTCCATTTGAGTTATGTTACATACAGGAAGAATGAAAGTATTAATAATTACTCATTGCGTTGCAGTAATTTGTGCACTTAATTGAATGTTGTTGAGTAGTTAGCATTCATGCTTCATGTGTGGGACATTCTGGGTACAGTTCAGGGTCAAAAGGCAGTTGTCCTGACAGATCATTCATGCTTCATTTATTAGTTCTGGTAAATGCTAGTGACTTCACCATTTAAAACACAGTGGATAATGTATGTACACTGACTTTAATGGCAAGAAATGTTTGCATTTGGCCACAGTATTTTTATGACTAGTATGATATCAGAGTAAACAGTGATTATTTCCCTAAACAGCATCAACCAATTGCACTTTATAACAAAGATACATTATGCTTTGTGTGAGGTAGGGACTGAATTTTTAAATGTTATTTAGAAGAAAAAATTGCATCAAAATGTTAAGATAGTTCTTGGTTTCATCCCTTTTGGTTCTTCATTCACATTGAACCTTCTCTTTAATACTCCATAAGTTATGCAGTTCAGAAAGCATCATTAAATAAGCAAAGAAGTGTAATTGAATTTCAGCTATGCATGATGTATGTTTGATTATATATCTACAACATTGTTTTCCAAAGTTGGAGACCCCCACCCCAGGGTCATGAAAACTTTTTCCAAATGTTGTCTAAAGATGCTGAATTAATTGTAATTCTAAAAGGTTACATTAAATTACAGACATAGAGTCTAATAGAAGAACACTTAATAATTTTAAAATTTGATAGTAATATTTTTTGACATTGTTAAAATCACATTTTAAGTATTTTTTATGAGTTGGGAGGCCTCAAACTTTTTTTTTCAATCAAGGAAACTGCATACCAAACAAGTCTTTTAATCACAAATCTACAAAGTTATAGTACATTTACAAGTGTGTTGTATTATGCAAAAAATGCATGAGTTTAATGAAGTTTATGAATGTAAGTATATGAGTCATATTATTTTCAGACATAGAAGAATTAGAATGTGTGGCGAATTCCAGTAACAAGATATTGATGGAGTCATTTCTGACTCACCTGCCACACTGTGTAAATCGTGAAATGATTGACAGTTCAGCGGTAGAATTTGTCATGAACCTGAACACCAAGTATAACAGGAAGAAACTTGTGAAGTAAGTGGAGGAAAGGAGGAATGGATTGCAGATACAGAGTGAAGAATGAAGTTTACTTGTTTGATCTGATTTTTTAATATGCACGATATATTTTGTGAGTAGCTTGGTTTTTGAAATTTTATATGTCATTTTCTCGTATTTTTGGAGATCATACAGTTAGTGCAGATTGATGCTATCAAATTATGTAGGATCAGTGCCAGGACAGTTAACTCCTTTACTCGTTGCTGTTAGCACATTTCAGACCTCAGAAGCAAAAAAGATGGCTTTGATTAGAATGTGCAGAAAGTGAATACAGTTACATGTGTGTGCTAAACAAATTGATCTATAGGTAATGCTTGAGACTTGTATTTGGTAGATTCTCAATGTGAGCTGGGTCAGTGGGTATGCTGACTGAGTTTTTTGTGGTTTTCCTCAGTCTCTCCTTACAGATGCCAGGGTAGTACCTCAGTTGGGCCACAGTCACTTCCTTTTGAATCCTCTCCAGTTCATCAGTCAGCCTACCATCTTATGCTATATAGTCTCAATACTAAAAAAGTGTTGCTGAATAAAGCTACCTGCTGTTACATGAACAATGTAAAGTATTTTGCGTTTGTCAAAATAAATACATAAACAGTGCAAGCCAAACATTTTTGGCTTCTGCAGATTTGAATGTATGGTAAGTCATATCACAAAGAAAGATGAACACCAATTAATTTTATGTTATTTATCCTACATAGATAAAGTCTATCTAGAAGTTATTTTTGCAGTGAAATAGTATTGCTGCACATGCCACTGTAAGATTTAAAAAGTTTGAGATAAACCTTTTACACATAGTTAAATGTTTTATGAAATTTCTGTACCTATATAACCCAATTCTGGTCTTGAGACTATGATTTATAAGATTTATTTTCTATAATTTGAACTTGTGTAAGATATGACTGAACTGCTGGGTGCCACTGAATTTTTCCTTTCTCTCTTGATTATTTTTCACATTCTTACAGTTTCATAGGCGTAGAAGGGAGTGGATGTATACGATGGGGTACCCAAAAGAAACCGAACTAATTTTTTTGTGGGCAGAGCTTTTGTAGTACCGCGTTTTGCCGCTGTGAGCGCATAGAGCTAACATTCCTGAGTCGATAAGCCGACTACCATTGCTTCAGAAGGTAAGGACTAGTTTCGGCAGAGTTTCTAGTGACAACTGTTTTGTATGATCGTCGTTTTTGCAATGGCTGATTTTCGTGAACAGCATGCGGCGGTGAAATTCTGCTTTTTGCTCGGGAAAAGTGGAACAGAAACACTTGACATGTTAAAAACGGCGTACAAGGACGATGCTATGGGGAAAACTCAAGTGTTTGAGTGGTTTTCTCATTTCAAAAATGGTGAAATGTCAATTGATGACAAACCTCGTTCTGGTCGTCCTTCCATGGCCCGAACACATGAAAATGTTGAAAAAATTCGTGAAATCNCCGACTTTTTTTTGTTTCCTCGAATGAAAAGAGACATGAAAGGAAAAAACGACGGAGGTGCTGTGAAGCATCTCAAAAGATGAATTTAGACAATGTTTTGAAAAATTAAATAAAAGACTAGACAAGTGTATTAGTGTAAGTGGAGAGTACTTTGAAGGGGATTGAAGGTTTGTGCTTAAAATTTGAATAAATAAGTTAAAAAAATAAGTTCGGTTTCTTTTGGGTACCCCCTCGTAAACCCTATACAAATTCATGGTGTAGTGCTTACTTATTTAAGTACAGGGACAGCTTTTTCTTTGCTTTTACATTGTTTTATTTTTGTCATAACTGTTTTTGAACTTTTAACAGAATGTTGTTTAGTGTGCCTCGTACTCGTCTGGACCTTCTTCCATTTTATGCAAGATTTGTTGCCACATTGCATCCTGTAGTACCTGATGTCGCTGTGGAGCTTGGCCAGTTCCTCAAACAAGACTTCAAATTCCATGTCCGAAAGAAGGTTAGTTGAACTTATTTTAGCAATCCTTTTGAATGATTCAAAAGTGTGTATCTAATTATACTATTTAGCTGTACATTTCAATGACGAGAACCATGTAAGTGTATGCTTTTTCATTGAAATTCTGATATTTCAGTAAGATACCCATGGGGCAATCCAAATTTTGCAACTTTCTTATGTGGAGAATGTACACAGTGCAACCCCCATATAAGAATAGTTTATAAAAGATATAAAAATTCTCATTATGATGTATGCACAATATCCGAAAGTGGTTGAAATACATATTCTTCTAGTCCAGCTTCAGATTACATACGAGGTGTATCGGAAAGTTCCTGGGCTGTTACTGTTGTAACTGCCTCAGTGTGAGAAGATGAGATGGGAGGCCAAGGTCACACTTCCACAAGCCTATTGCATCAGTCTGCCACATGACACCACACTGTGAACAGTAATTGCTTTTACATGAGTGCTTTTTTGACTTTGTGTTTCATTTTGTCAGTGATGAATGGCAAAAGCGGACATGTGTGCATCAAGTTTTGAATGAAGCTAGGTAAATCTGCTACTGAAACTGTTGAAATGCTTCATGAGGCTTTGGAGAACATTCTCGAAGCCGGACAGCAGTTTCTGAATGGCATTCACATTTCAAGACCTGTTGAGTGTCCGTTGAACCAAGCACCAGCAAAATGACAGCAAATGTTGAAAAAATATGAGAACTCATCCTTGAAGACCTTCGCCCAACAATCCATGAGCTCATAGACACTGTTGGAATCAGTTATGGAGTTTGCCAGGAGTTCTTAGCAGAAAATTTGAACATGCGCCACATTACCACGAAGTTTGTTCCCTGACTCTTGACAAATCATCATAAGCAGTCGCACATAAATGTTTGTCTTTAGCAGTGAGAGAAGGCTTATGAGGAACCAACTTTTACAAGTGTCTCTAGTATCACAACAGGCAATGAAAGTTGGATTTATGAGTATGATCCAGAAACAAAGCAACAATTGTCGCAGCGGAAGAGCCCACAATCACCAAGAGCAAAAGAGGCACAGCAGGTCCAGAGTTCAACAAAGAGCATGTTCATTGTTTTTTCTTGGGGAGCGGGGGGTGGCATGAAGGGGATTGTTCACTGTGAATTTTGTTCCTCCTAACACTATGGTCAACTCTGACTTTTACTGTGATGTTTTGAGATGCTTGAGAGAAACTGTGCAGCAACTGGAACTTTTAGGGTGTAACCAACTGGTTCCTTCATCACAACAATGCATTCGCCCACACATCCCTGAAAACCACCTAGTCTGGGAACTTTCCCATAGCACATCATATATGATTATACAGTGCTAAGGTTTAGAAAGTGCAGGTGTGGCAGTATTTATTCTTTTTGTTCATTTACAATAAAACATTATGAAAATTCACATTTTAGCTTTGACATGTCATGTAGACATGAAAGTAACAAGGAACAGCTCAACATTCTTGTCATCTTTAGTATTATCTGAACTGAGAAATTAAAAATATGCATTCATAACCTCTTACGCTCACATCTTTGAGCAGATTTTTTTTTCTGGTTACAAGCTGGTATGACAGTATGCATTGTGTGCTGAGCACTTCTGTATCAGGCTTGTCTAAATTCTCTGCTTACACATACAGTTCTCAGATTCAAGAATGGGTACTTTTCTCCACCAAAGAAGGTAGAGGTTCGTGGTACTCTATAATGGTACCTTAACAGACTGCCAGAAATAAAAGAGTTTGGGGAGCATTTTTTTTTATTGCTAGTGGGATGGAACTAAGTCCCTTGTACTGTGGCCACTTCTAGCCTGTTGGACCAGCTCCAGATGATAGGTGAGGGTGATTGTGGAGCAATTGGTGGAATGAAGATTGGCAGGGGAAACCGAAGTACTTGGAGAAAACCTGCCCCAGCACCACTTTGTCCACGACAAATCCCACTTGACCAGACACGGGATCAAACCCCAGCCGCTGCAATGGGAAGCCAGCGACTGCAGATGCAGTTCATGCTGAAAGTTGCAAAACAGCTTGCTAGGAATTTCATATGGTGGAAGTATCAGAAAAGTGCCCTCATTTTATGAGAGATTTTCCCATGTCTTATTTCAAGAAATTGATGATTCTGAGATTTTTTTTTTTTTGTTATAATGAATTTCTCATATATGTATTTATTTGTTCTGCTGTGGTTCCACAATGGTTGTATTTTTATTTTATCCTTTCATGATTGAGATTTCTCGATTAATATTGTTAGACAATGATATAGGGAGTTGGTAAGTAAAATAAAAATTTTTTATGCATTGAAAATAATATATAAAGTTCATGATTACTAGATGTTGTATGTATCTAACAGAAATAATTTTCTTGTGAAATATCAGGATCAGATTAATATTGAATCCAAGATAAAAGTCGTGAGATTTATTGGAGAGTTGGTGAAGTTCAGAATGTACTCAAAGATAGAGGCTTTATATTGCCTGAAACTGCTGCTCCATGACTTCACACATCATCACATTGAAATGTGCTGCAGCCTTCTGGAATCCTGTGGTCGGTTCTTGTTCAGAAATGTAGACTCACATCAACGAACTAAAGTGTATTTGGTAAGTGTGCATGTGTGGTCTTGTTACAGGGGATCTTATTTATATAAATCGTTGAACAATTGTAGATACAGTTCAGTCTGGGTGGGTATGTGATTTAAAGATATTCAGTGCCTTAGATTTCACATTGTCCATATACTTGAATGCAAGTTCGTATCCTGAGGGCATGGATGTTTGGGAATAATGTTCTACATATTCTTATGAGGGTCTGAATACAGTCCTAATTTTAGGATTTTGTTTCAGCTTCAGCAGGCCTAATTATTTATTTTTTTTTATTGCTAGTGGGGTGGGACTAAATCCCTTGTACTGCGGCCACTTCTGGCCTATTGTACCAGCCCCAGATGATAGGTGACGGTGATTGTGGAGCAATTGGTGGAATGAAGATTGGCAGGGGAAACCGAAGTACTCGGAGAAAACCTGCCCTAGCACCACTTTGTCCACCAGAAAGCCCACTTTACCAGCCCCGGGATTGAACCCGGGCCATGGTGGGAAGCCAACGACTAACCGCTTGAGCTATGGCACAGCCTTTATGGGTCTAATTAAGAAACAAGTATAGGGCTATGTAATCTGTCAGAGTCTTGATATCAGTTTTTCCATGATCACAATACTTTCTCACATATACTACATACGTGAGAAAGTATAAATTGCACATTCAGTACAAGATGTGAAGACTTCTGTCTTGTGAGATATAATGTCATGTAGTCACTGGAGTGAGCTGACATTTTGGAGGAACATTTCCATCTTCAGAATTGAAGAGTAAGCCAAGCAAGAAACCAGCATGCACCCAACAGCAAATAGACCTATACTTTGCCTGGGTTTTGTTGATTTGTTGCTTGGCTTACTTTTCAACTCTGAAGATTCAGGCAGCATTGGTTGACTTTCACTGGACTGCACAGCAGTAGTATGCTTACTGCATGCTTAATCCTGGTTTCTTGCTTGGCATGCTCTTTGAACATGAAGAAAGGGGTGATATGTTCTTCCAGAGCTTCAGTTGACTTACACTGGACTACAGTGTTATATCCTTAGAGGTAGAAACCTTCACAGTCACTGCTATGAGAACCTCACATCTGACAGTAGCAGATGTTTTTATGGATCAAATTACAGGTCAGAAATTCATGCTACAGATGTGCTCTATGCTCTTTCTTAACAGTATGCAGTTTCAGCATCTCCCTCCCTCCCTCTCTCTCTTTTTCTCTATTTGTTTGTGTTTGTCTTAAATAGTATGTTAAAGAAATGTACGCAGGTTTTGTTGATGAACAGGTTCCATTTGACAAATTTTGTAAGTAAAACTTCAGAGCAAGACTATGTGGACATCTCAGTTTCAGTTAGATTTTGCTTTTTATTTCTGTTTCTACATTAGCCACTTAAACTTTGGTTTCTATTTCATGGAGGCCAGAGAAATTTACAATAAAGATAGATTGCACTTTAATTCTTGTTATGTTTTTAATGGTTTTATTGCATTTAAACCTACCTTGTTCACACAATTAATGTTGGAATATTAGTGTACTCACCTTCCAGTGTTAGAGAAGTTATTCAGATATAAAATACAAATTATTCTAGGTGGTACACTTTATTTTTGTCAACAGGAACAAATGATGAGGAAGAAGAGCGTTACAGCATTAGATTCTCGCTATGTGACGATGATTGAAAATGCATTTTATTATGTGGACCCACCAGACACAGCACCATTTGTGAGGAAAGAACGACCTCCAATGCATGAATTTATTCGTAAGATATTGTACCAAGATTTAATGAAGGCCAATACGGATAAAGTGTTGAGGCTGATGCGGAAGTTGGACTGGGAGAATCCAGATCTAGCAGAATATGCGGTGAAATGCCTCACTATGGCTCATAATGTTAAATATTACAATATCCGCTGCTTGGCCAGTCTTTTGGCAGGTCTGGTAACTCATCAGGTGAATTTATTGAATATCAGTATTTTTATGAAGCACATGTGATATATACAGGGTGTCCCAGGAGGAATGTGCCAGACTTTGGGAGGGTGTTCCTTGTGTTTAAGTATGCCGATATAACCCAAAACACCTATGTCCACAGTTGAACGGTTATGGAGATAATAGCCAGAGAAGTGTGAAACTTTGACAGGTGTTACACACTTGTTGATTACCAAATACATATTAAAACTGGAAGGAATATGTCGTTTCTGTAATGTTAATAATGTATGTAACATCAGACTAACTTATGCGTGACATGAAGTCATTAAATTGAACTACATAAAAACTCGCACACCATATCATAGTTGTTGTTAGGGTTCCAAGCACTATACATGACACAGGAATGGCAAGCACTGATGTAACATGGCTGACTGCGCATTCTGGTATGCGAGTGTATGTGACTAGTGAGGGCTGTCATCACCGCACTCAAGGACAAACATAGGTAAGACTTGTCAGCTGCCAGGTACAGTGCATGGACCCGCCAGAAGACCACACTTATCTCGGACCATTATCTCTGTAACTGTTCAACTTTGGACATAGGTGTTTTGGGTTATATCGGCATACTTTAACATAAGGAACACCTTCCCGAAGTCTGGCACATTCCTCCTGAGACACCCCGTATATAAAGGTATGCTTCATAATTTTTCTAATAAATCTGGATAATTTTTTTAGCACTTGGCTTATGATAGGATTCTGTAGCAGGCTGTTATGGAAGCAGTAATGACCATTTGTGTTTTACAAGAAACGGATAGTTTCTTGATCAGTTGAGTGACGGTCAGCTTCTGATGAAGGACTCTGCTCCATGCAGTAGTACATTAATTATATTGTAATGTTTGCTATGCAGAGTAATTTATAATCATTTTTTGTTGTCATGTAACGTAAATGACTTCGACAGAATATCATATAATTGTTGGCAATGATGAACTTAATCTGAAACCTCAGAAGTAAATTTGTGTAATATTTCAGTTCATCTGTGTTTCTGAGATGACATCTATTTTAAAGTGAATGATGGTAAATGCCACTATTGAAAAAGAAAAATGCTTTCATGATACCATTTTAATATTTCTCTGTGTAGATTGGAGCTGGGATAGCACAGTTTGTATAGTGACTGGCTATTTGATGGATGACTGAGAGGTTGGAGTTCAAGTCCCAGTAGGGTCAAGAATTTTCACTTCTCCATGTCGTCCAAACTGGCTCTGGGGTCCACGCAACTCCTATACAGTGGGTACCAGGGGTTCTTTCCCGGGGGTAAAGCGGCCGGGGCGTGAAGCTGACCACTCACCCTCAACTAGTGCCGAGGTCAAGAAAATGTGGATCTATACATCCACTCCCCCATATGTCTTCATGGCATAGTGCTTAATTAATTAAACACAGGGATAACTTTACCTTTTACGTGTGTAGATTAATGCATTGGTGACTCGGTTTGTTGCCCTGTCCTAGGCCGCAAGAGGATAGGGTACATTTAGCACCACCTTGTAGACACATGTAATGGGTATCTGAGGGAATGGCTGTTTTTCTTATCCATTCACTGGATTAGGCCCTTTGGCCTGTACCCATTCAGAATTAATAAAGAAACTATGAATTTTTCAGACAGTTTTGGTAGAACCCCTTGGATGGGGTATGAGTCCATTGCAAGGCCACTACCTACACAGTACTACACAAACTGAAAAAATGTATGCATCCATGCCTTGAGTGGGATTTGAACCCATGATCCCAGTGTTTTAGCGGGCAAATACATTTTGTGCCATAGACCACATGGACACTGTGATCAGCTGGGAATGGCTTTTCTTACAGTAAATTGTGTTTTTATTGAATGGGTTTATACAAAATTATGTGAACAAACAATTCAGTGTTGTACAAGATTTCTTACATGTGATTATGGTAAAATACATCCTGTATGTAATTAATTACAGAAACTGTTCCACTGCAAAGATGAGGTGCAATCAGATAGTTTCTCAACTGAATTTACTGTCAAATTTACATCAACATTTACTGTCAAACCTATGTTGTCCCTCCAAATTGTCTCCTTGGGACATGCAAGCCCAGTGATCACGCCCCGGTTCGAAGCTCTTTTCCTGACATCCAGTGTTTGAAACTCTGTCTGTTTGTCCTGTGATTTTGCTTGTATCATGGTGACATCACATCTCCTTCCTTTTAAGATCATCTTTAGTTCTGGGAAAAGAGAGAAGTCACACTGCTCTTAATCTGGTGAGTAGGCATGATGTGGAAAAAGTCTTTTTATTTTTAGCTAGAAATTCCCGCGTAAACAAGGCAGAGGGAGCAGGCCAATTTTGCCATGCATTTTCCTGCAGATACTGTAAGATGTTAATTTATGAATGTTGGTTTACATTTTGCCTTTGCAGAACAAATTCATAATGCACAGCTCCTTGAATAAAGAAGAGTGAGCATGGTCTTCACACTTGAGTGAACTTGTCTTGCCTTTTTTTAAGTGTTCCACTGGAACAAATGTTGCTTCATTTTTGGCTCATGCCTGTAAATCCACATTTTGTTTCCTGTGATTGTCTTCTATAGGAATTTTGGGTCTCAGGCCACTGTAGAAGGTTCTGGAACATGCTGACAGAATTCTTCTGCTCCTCACTCAGCAATCAGGCCATGAATTTGGCAACAATCTGACACATTCAGATTTTATTTTGAAATGCTCTAAAGTGAACCAGATGAAATTCCCAGCATGTTAGTATCATCAGGGATAGTGATTCTAATGTTTTTTAAAGTACCTTCACTTGATCCACATTTTAATCTGTTTTGTTTGTTGATGGATGTCCTGAGCATTCAGCATCTTCACCAGAGGTCACACTGCTTTTTAACTTGGAAAACCACTCAAATACTTGTGTTCATTTAGTTTCCTGCTCTCTAATATTTGCGTACAACATTTCAAAGGTTTGTGTAGCATTTTTCGTCAGTTTACAGCAAAATTTGATGCAGATGCACTGCTCTTTTAAGTCTGCCATTTTCTGCATATGCAAGAGTTGCAAATGGAACGGACACACTTGTGCGTAAGACATTAGATAACAGTTGCACATACTACAACCTTATTCAAAGCAGGAAGTGACTCAGCAGACTTTACGCTGTCTACGCCCAGTAGCAGAAGTGCATGCTAGCAACAGTAGTGCCATATCCGTCAGTCCTGAAATTATTTGGTCACACCTTGTAAATGCAATTATGTAATAATATCTAATTAATTTCTTGAAAGAATTAGTGACATATAAGAAAATTAATGACACAGGAAATGATGGTGACTTCTCTCCAACCACTCCTGCTGCTCCCTCCTTAAGGCCACTTGTCCTGAGTGGTTTCCTTGTAGAGTGCCAGTTGGTCCAGGTTTGTTACCATCATCTTCCTCCAGTTGGTGCAGCCAAAAGTTCTGAGAGTGGTCAGTGCTCCTACATTTATGGCTCCTACTGTGTGTGCCATCTCTTCTTTCATTTTGGAGGGGGCCAACCCATCCGCATTGTCCTGACACTCATTTTCATGTATTGTTTGTATAGGACTTCAGCTGGAACCAGAGATAAGATTTACAAAATGTGAAAACACTAAATCAAGATTTCACTCTGAACATCATACAGGCTGTAGAGACTTCATGGAAGTTTTTGCAGCGTGTAGTGCCTTATTATCCTACCGAAAATACAAACATCTCATTCTTCCTTTAATTAATTCTTCAAAGAAGGGCTCCAGAATATTTTTCACATTGCATGAAGAGACTCTTTTATGCACTAACTTTTTGTACTTGCCCTTTTTGAGCCTTCCTGTACTGGAATATACATGAAGAAAGCAGTCTTCTGGGATGTTGCATCGTGTAGATGTGTGTTAACCGATGTTTCGGAGGAACATATCGCCTCCATCTTCCTTGAAGATGCCACATTCCAGAAGACTGCTTTCTTCATAGTCACCGCCATGAAAACCTCAAATCTTACATGGAATAATGTTGTATTTTAGTGTCTTGTTGCACTGATTCGTATTCATAATGTGTATATATTAACCGTCTTTACAACGCATGCAGCCACATAAGAAAGACACATCATAAGACACAGTATATACACAATTAAAACATAAGAAGAACAACTCCCATAGCGGATGATTGGCATTACACCTGAGTTTGATATATGACATGTAAGATGATAGATCTTAACAAGTTTTAATATATATATTTATTACTGAACAGTGATGTACACACATTTTATATCATTTTATAAATGGACACTTAATGGCAGGCAGTGCAATGGTTTAACGTGATTAATACACCTGAGGATGGCAGAATGATGCCAAAACATGTAGTGGGAAGTGACAAGTGAAATTGTATGCACTAAAAGACGGTTAATATATACACATTATGGATACTTACATGGAATATACTTGGCTGCCAACTTTCACAGTCTGCAGTGCCATTGCCAATGCAGTGAGCTGCCTGTGTATTCAGGTTTAAATTTTGCAACACAGTTCTGCTTGTTGTTGGATTGCAGGAAACAGTTGGGACACATGTAGTTGATGGGGTGATGGAGGATATCAGGTTGGGTATGGAAGTGAACCTGCCTAAATACAGCCAGCGCCGTGTGGCAATGATCAAGTATTTGGGTGAACTCTATAATTATCGCATGGTGGAGAGCAGTGATATATTCAAGGTAACAAGTAGCTTTTATTCATTCGTTGACAAATTTCTATATTGGTGTTACTGGTTTTGTGTAGTTGTGTTCATTGCAGGGTTGGAATGAATCAACAGTAAAGTTTTTTTTTTTTTGTTTCTTTCACCATAGACATAATATTTCTCCTGTTATATGCTTGGTCAGTAAATATTCTGGAAGTTCAGTAATAAGAGTTTAGTAGTAAGTATGAGAGATATTTCCACTTTTGGAAGATTATTTTGAATAGTAGTTCCAAAATAACCCTTATTTAAGGATGAAGATTGATAGATGTCTTGACCCTTTCTGACCGGCATGTTTGGAGAAATTTCCGCAGCCAGGATGATGGGTTTTTAATTGCCTGCCAAGCCACTAAATGAAGTGTTTTGCCAAAAAAATTGATGCAGCAAGGGCATAAAATTAAAAGGGAGAATGTGTACTTACATTTTCAATTGTCAAATTCTTGGACCAACTCATCACTACTATAATATCTGTCATTGAAAAGGTGGTAGTCTTCAATACCAGACACACTGAGTCATAGTCTGTCCATCAAGGAAAGAACCATTCTTGAAATGAAGTGTTTTTCAGAATATGGCAAGTTCTGTCACCCTGTAAGTTTTCTGTAATTTGGAATTATACTGTGAACATAACCAGTCTCACTAACAGCTAATAGAAATAATCTGATTCCCCACTTTTTTGGGGGGGAATTATAAGTTTTAAAAATTTTTTTGTGCTAGAACCCAAGTTATGAAGAGTTTTTCACTTAACATGTCATTAATAGATTCTTCATCCTCAACACATACTGGATTATATTTCAGTTTTTTTTTCAAGCAAGAAGGCAGATGTCTGCCTGTATGTAAAGCCATGTTGATAACACTGATGCACAGTAATATATATGGCATTCATTCCTCAAGAATCACAAATTATAACTTCTAAATGGCAGAAGAAGGCAGACAAAACATGAATCCATTGGTATAGTACACAGTGCCAACTAGTGACGTATGAGCCACACATGACTGCAGAAACTTGAAAGAAACTTTGTCGATCATATATCGACATTTGTGCATGGAAGCACTGTCACCATTTTGATTATATAGTGGCATCTGACTGGAAAGGGTTAAATATTGTGACATAACTACAATTACTTTATTAAAACCGTCAGTGCCAAGTTTGACTTTGCTACATGTTTTGGCTATTAAAAGCCATCATCAGACAAATACATGGCTAACAAATATACACCACTGAACTGCAATACTAATAAAATTGGATACAATAATATTAATTATATTAAAATATTTGTCATAAAAATACAATAAATTTGACTATATAAAACAAAAGTTATAGAATAAGACAAGAATAAAATTCTTTGAATGATGTTTTTTATCATCGAGTCAGTAGTTGGTTTTCGTGATTTTGTTGTGTTCCCACTGACAAATTGGAATATTCTATATTTTGTGTATATATAATAAACTGTTTAGGAGGCTCGTGATGTAGATGTAGTAATATTAATGTTAATTACTTAGTCGGTGCCTCATCTTACAAAGTATTGTCTGTTCTATAGGGAATGTCGTTTACATCATCTTCGCTATAACATTGAGTGCTTTTGAAATATGACAAGATGGCAAATGTTTTCCATTTTACATACAGTAAACTCCCCATTATTGAGCACATGTAGGGAATGGGTTGTACTGGTTACATGAGGAAAGCTTTTGCAGAACCCAATTTTCATGTAGTTTTCACCTTTCCGGTGTTTCAATATTTCAGTTTTTGTTTCAAAGTCATAACATTTTTTCACTTTAGTTCCTCTGTGGTTGTCTTAGGAGACATATCAGATTGGCGGGTGAAAGACTTCAGATATACTGTAATGCAATCACAAATTGAATTAACCCCTCACACAGGCATTTTTGTGAGGGAAGGTGATGAGTAGCACTCCTAGTAGTGGCTGGGAGAACTACCATGTGGCAGTGAACATATGTGTATTGCAACTTTGTTCTTGAGGAAACTTTCAAAATTTTTGCCAGCTGCATGAGAATTCTTAATGCTTGGCTACTGGATAACCAGGAGTTTATTCTGTATATTGCAGATTCTGTATTCATTGATCTCGTTTGGTGTGTCACAAAACCCTTCAAGTCCCTCATTTTTGGATCCTCCTGAACACCTATTCCGCATCCGACTAGTGTGCGTTCTTTTGGAGACATGTGGTCAGTATTTCAACAATGGAATAAGCAAGTCAAAGCTGGATTATTTCTTCACTTACTTCCAGGTATGTTCCACAATAATGTAGATATTTTAAAAAGTTGTCATAGTGTAGTATGCTGTCATAAGTCCATTATACTAGCCAGATTCAGTATTTCACCATATTGAACAATTTTGGCTGCTACTTTATGTGAAACAATGGAAAAGAAATGTTTTATTTTTTTTGTCAAATATTTATAGAATTTAATATTGGGGCTTATAAAATTTAAACCAAAATTATTTCCTTGAAGTTGAATGTTTTAGTCAGAGTTTGTTGCAAACAAAAGTCAAGGCATAGGTGGGAGGATAATATTAAAATTGTCTTTAAAGAAACTGGTTGTGAAATTGTGGACTGCATTCATCTGGCTCAGGAAATGGCTGATAAACCTCCAGGTTGCATAAAAGAGACTAGTTGAGTGACTGTTAGTTTCTCAAGAAGTACTCTGCGCAATGACTTAGCTATTAAGTAGGCCATGAATCTTTTTGGAAAGATGGTCTCTAGTTGTAATTATATTAAATATATTTTGTTAAATTTTCTCTTAGAGAAAACTTTCTTCAATTTTTTTGTTGCTGCTGCTGTTGAGACTGCAGCTGATTGGAGCTCTGACTCTCGGTCTGATTCTGAGAGTGTGCATTGAACACTCTGAATTTACCATCCAGTCCTAGAAAAATAACAGAGTTATTTCCTTACATTATATANAATGCCATGTAGTCCCTTGAAAGCCAAAGAGAATTTTAGGGGAACATATCTCCACATCCAGAGTCAGAATGAGCTGAGCAAGATACCAGCATTAAAGTAGGAGGTGTCATATCCCAGAAGATAATCATCACTGTGAGAACCTCAAATCCTTGTTTTTTGTTGTATGTCTAGGTAATCAGTGCTCTTCCATTTGATGAATATATGCACAAGTCATTTGGTTTTCATCTGTCTAATCCTTTATTGCCTATTCTGCATGAACCACTGCTTTAATTACCTCAGTCCAACTTTATCTTAATGAATCTAAGGTAAAGATAATTAAATATTTGTGAAATTTGAAGCCAGTAAATATGATGGTTTATTTCACTTTAAAAGGTTGTATGTCTGCAAATATCTGTTCATAATACCCTCATAGTGAGGATTTTGCAATTTGGGTGTGCACTGTCAGTGGACCACAAACTGTTCTTGTTTTCACAGAGGTATTTCTGGCTTAAATATGAAGATAAATATTGGACTCCAGAAAATCCATTCCCAGTTGGAATCCATTACTTATTCAAAGATACTTTGACAAGTTTGCGGCCGAAGCTATGCTTGTTTTCAAGTTTAGAGGAAGCAAATCAAGCAGTTCATCAAATGCAGTTGGAATTTGCACCGATGCTATCAGATCGTATGCCAGGGCTGTTTGGTGGAGGGGGTGGAGATGATACAGACAACATACTCCCTACTCTGGGGTCTGATCTCGGGACCATCGTGGAGGCAGCAAGTGAGGGAGATGATGATGCATGTACTGAGTCAGAAGTTGCGGATGCCACAGATGCAGAAACGGAGACAGAGGAATCTCTGTCGCACGATGGTCGGCCTATGAAGAAATCTGCAAAATGTATGTGAACGATGATATTTAATAATATTCATTTATAGATTATTTTGTTTTACAGTTTTAATCCACCCTTTGTTTATATTAGAACTAAATATGGTTGTGATTACAGTAAAAGTACGTAGGTCATACCTAAAGTCATGAGCAACTTTTTTTGCATGCAACCTGGGAACAGCAGACGAAAGAGAGTACGGTGGTAGGTGGAACCAGCTATTGTGTTAACCTTGAGTGTCTTGTGATGTCAAAAGCTTGCATCACATGACCAGTATCACTCCTAACAAAATGGCTGACAATGATGTGTTGTTTCGCCAGTGTGCTGTCATTGAATTTCTTGTGAAAGAGGAAATCCCTGCTGCAGAAATTCACCAGAGACTTCAGCATGCTTATGGAAGTGTGTGCATGGGTGTGAGCAGTGTTCGAAGATGGGTGAAACATTTTAAAGATGGGAACACCAGCATCAAAGATGAGCCTTGGAGCAGTCATCCTCGAACAGCCTCAACTGAACGCAACAAGGAAAGAGGGGTTGAGATCATTGAAGATGACAGGCATGTGACTGTGGACACAACAGCCCGAAAACTTGGAATAGGGCACAGTGCAGTACAGGAGATGATTGAAAGCTTGGGCTATAGGAAAGTTTGTGCTCTTTGGGTCCCGCGGTTATTGACTGAAGACCACAAAGGTCAGCGAAAAGCCATCAGCTCAGAACTGCTGCAGAGATATCGACATGAAGGCGATGATTTTTTGCTCTGTATTGTGACAGGTGACGAAAGCTGGTTTCACCATTTCGAACCTGAAACAAAATGGCAGAGTATGGAATGGCACCATTTGCATTCTTCATCAAAAAGAGAAGGCAAAGACAGTGCCATCAGCTGCGAAGGTGATGGGCACAGTCTTCTGGGATGCAGACGGTTTTATTCTGGGCGAATTTCTAGAACCTGGGCAAACTATCAATGTTGCTCGTTATGTCCAGACACTGCACAAGCTCTGTCATGCATTGTGCGATAAACGTCTGGGATGAAACATCATCCTGCATGACAATGCTCACCCCTGCGCTGCTTGCCTCACATTGGAAGCAATTGCAAAAATGGGGTGGAAAGTTCTTTCATGCCCCTCCTATAGCCCTGATTTGGCACCCTCCGACTACCATCTTTTCAGATTTGTGAAGGATCAGCTGCATGGACAATGTTTTGAGACAAGTGAGGCAATTCAGAAAGCAGTACATCAGTGTCTTCAGATGGCCAGAATGGAATTTTACAGAAGGGGAATTTTCAAACTCCCAGAACGCTGGGAGAAATGTGTACAAAGAAGTGGCAATTATGTGGAAAAATAAAGAAAGGTCTGTAGATTGAGATGATGTATTTGGTTTGTCAATAATAAAGCATGTTACTTTACAAAGAATTGTTGCTCGTGACTTTCAATATGACCCTCATATATTATAATGACAGTTCATAATGTCAATAGAAGATTTTCTATGAGGAATTGTCATCAGTCTTAATCATAATTTCTTGAAGTATACCTGACCTGTGCACCTTATTAGATGTACTTACATTTTTCATGTTCCATGCTGTATATAATTATTCCCTTGTTAAATGTGTTTCTTGTGTGTTTGTATGACAAATATGATGATGCAGTTGAAAAAGAGACAAACTCAATAGTGAGTATCATCAAGATTAGAGATAACTCTCCTGTAATATTGTGGTCAGAGTGACACTCTAGTTCAGCCTTTCTCAACCTTTTTACCTTGGAGAAACCCTTGAAATAATTTTCAAGTCTCAGGTAATATCTGCATAAAAATTATTATAAAGGTAGGCTCTAGATTTAATGTAAATAAGGGTTGTAAATCGATCTTAATTAGTTTTATTTACAAAATGAAAAACATTAGGTAAATCAAAGCAATATAAACAAAAATGTCATCTAAGAGAGTGTTATTTTTGAAACTAAAATAAAGAATGAAATTTACATCTTTAATGTGAAACCTATGCTTGTTTTTTGCTGTGCAAATACATAATTCTGGGTTAAGCTTTGATAAGCACACACAGTTCATTTGCAACTGAAATTAGATGATTGCTGTCTTTGCTCTTGTTGCTTGTTAAACAAGAAAAAGCTTGCTTACATATGTAAGAAGTCGAAAACTGCGGCAATATGTTTATTCCTTTCCTGTGAATGGCAGGATATTTTTTTGTTCATAGAAATCCAGTACTTGTCCAGGGATAGGTCGGTAAATCTCATCTTGAGTGTATGATCAGACTTCAGCTCACAAAGCTCTTCTTCTTCCCTTAAAGTGAAGTTCTCAGGCTGAGCAGATGGTTTAGAGTAAGGGCTGTGCATGCAGTCATACATTTGTGCTGAAAGAGAAGGAAACTGATATTTATTTTTGTTCTGCAGTTCTTCAAAGTGGTTTTCAATAAGACTGAAGACTTGTTGATATCCTTCTTCACTCTGAAGCCTCAGAAGCAGTGAAGACATTTCAAGATTTCCTTTCACAACATGATTTTTCCAAAGATTCAGTTTCCTTTTAAATACAAAAATCTTGTCACTTGGAGTCAAAGCATTTTCTCTGGGGCCTTGCAGAGACTTGTTCAAATGGTTCATGGGATGAAAAACGTCAGCTAAGTAGGCTAGTTTCTGTAGCCATTCTTCATCTTCAAAGCACATGCAAATATTTCACTGTCTCTCTCGAAACCCCTAGCAACTTTTCACAGAACCCTGGCTGAGAAAGGCTGCCCTCGTTAGTTATGATTGATTAGTTCATTTCTGGTGGTAGGTGTAATGCTGGTCAACACAAGTCATGTACTGCTAACATATAAATTAGATTACACTGACCTTTGTAATGGTGTAAGTATGTGTGAAGAAGAACAGAACACAAAATTGACATTGTATATAGACCTCACCTTCACTACATATGATACTTCTCTGCTATTTCATTTGATTCTTGAAGAATCTGCCCTTACAAGTATATTGTGTAACATAAAAATTTAAAACATTTGTCCATGTATTGGAACATTTATTGCCTGTTTCTGAGAAGACTTCGCTATAGTGCTGCTTCTGATTTCAAATTATTAGCACCCCATGAGCTTTCCACTCCCAGCCTTCTTGAAAACAGCTGATAGACACACAGTAATACCAGAACCATTCCTAAGCAGTATGAGCATACAGCAATGGAGGAACTTTTGGAAGTGGTGTTTTCTGTGTGGGCTGTGCCAAGGGCATGTAAGGGGGCCTGGAACAGCTTGAGTCAGTCAAGAATTGACAGCTGAAGTTGGAGGTTGGTAGTTGGAAATCAGCCCAGCTGAGAAGCTGGCAGCCAAAGGAAGATCCAGTTGAAATCACTGTTCAGATTGTGAGGTTGGCATGAGATGATTGCCACCGTGTGAAGACGTGAGTCCGGAAGCAGAGGAATGTCCGCTGTTGAAAGCTGCTATCAAGCAGTGTTATTGAGGCACTAGTCTGTGTGTGGTAGTGATCTGTGAAGCATAGTCACAAGCTATAAAAGTGTCCAGTAAATCTAGTTATCAGTCCAGAACCCTTCTGTCATCACTCCCACACATGATAACATGGAACTTCAGAGCCACATTTAAAGCTTTCTAGTTCATCTGTATAACAGCATCGGTTCTTCAGAACTAGATCAGTTACTGGTAGCACCTACATTCAACAGTACAGACACTTCTCTTCTCAACTGTGCTGCAGAGTCAACTCTTATATACCAGAGTAGAGTCATGACAGATAAAAAAGAACAAATTTTAGTGGTTAAGCATTCAAATTGGATGTTCTAGTGGAGCCTTGACATGATATGGAAAAGCTGAATAGATATTTTTTCTTATATGGATGAATTGAGATTGCATATTACAGCCTTGCTTTATTTATTGTATTTGTAGGTGGTGGAGGGGAGGATGGTGAAGGTGGAGAGGAAGAAGAAGAAGATCAGGAATTCTGTGAAGCTCTTTCTGAGTTTGAAGATGGCGAGGGAGAGGGAGAGTGGGGTGGCACAAGCTCTTCACCACTACAGAGGAGCCAGGTACTGCCAAGCTTGAGGCCCTTTTTACTTACATATTGAAATAAGCTGTGGTATTTATTTGGTGCACTCCCTCCTCCCCTCTTCACACCACATTTTCATAAATTAGGAGTCATGTAAATGAGGTTTATATTCAATTCACATTTAAAACTTCAAATTCCTCTTGAATTAGCTGACTCATCTTGAAACGTTTATTTTGTTATTTTTTATGGGGGGGAGGGGGAATTAAAGTTGTGTAACTGAAATAATGTGTTCAAAATAGTATGAATGTAGTAAGCGCAAGGTTTTGTAATGTCAGGGAAGCATAAGAACTTTCTACCATATCAGAAGTATGAGTATGTAAATACTGTTGAGGACAAGCTAGCATGCAAATTTTCACACAAGTTTTCATTTTTGAACAGGCTCAAATTTAAATTTTTTTTCTCATTTTTTATTTCCTTAGGCACTGAAAATGTCATATACCAAGAAGCTTAACATGACTGAATAGGTTATCACCTGTTCTAAAGTAAAGTAAAGTAAAGTAAAGTAAAGACAGTAATTACAAGGAGACCTATGAAGCAGTAGATTGTGCTAAGAAGTAATAATGTGAATGATTCATATAATTTAATGTTTTTTTTTATTTATTTCATTCTTATCCGTCACACTACTTACATTACTACTGCTACTTACAGGTCACATTGGACGGAGTAATTTATATTTGTTAATGTTCATTGTTTCAAACACTACTTCAGGCGAAATTTGTAGAACAGGTTGACATATTTTTGTATCATATATTTCCTCTAATTGTTGAGCTGTTTTCTGTGATAAAATTATCAAATCCTAAAATGGATTTACTAGTGACATTTTCTGTGGATTCCTCATTGGAATAATATGAAGCATGTCTTGTAAGATTCCAGGATAGAAACAAGTGCAAACCCTGCAGTGACATGTAAGATACTGGTAACATTTGAAGAGTTTGAAAATGTGGGATTCACCTCCTTAACTGTTATGGACTGTGCTATACAAATTATAATTATATTATAATAACTTTCTACAGGGAGATGAAGCATCTATGGTAGCAGCCTTACCACAAGGGCCTACTCATGTTGAATGCCCAGAAGATGAAGACTTCCTCTCTGCATTTGATAGGATGGTATCAGATAACATTCAAGACCGCATGCGGGAGACAGTGAAGCCACAACAAGTTGACATATCTGTTCCATTGCACATCAAAAGCAGTGCTAAGAAGACCTACGGTATTGTACAGTATCATACAGTGTACCTGTGATAGACCAAATAAGATTTACAGCAAAAACTTGATTATAATGAAAAAGTCAGTGCCACAAATTTGTTATAATTACATATATGAGGAAATCTTATGTTAAACAGCTATCTTTTTTGTGGCGCTTTTGTTATTATGAGGAGTTGCAAACTAGCTGCAACTTTTTCCATAGACTTTTGCACTGAGTGCACTTACATTTCTGGTGCTCAAGCTATTTGTAGCAGATGAGCCATGAAGGTATTTTTTAATTCATGCTTTGGGCATCTCTCTTGTCCAAGGGAATGAAATTGACATTCCATAATTTGAGTACTGTATGTCTGAATATAGAATTTACTTGACCATGAAGTTGAAATGTTGAGTGTGCATGCACAGAGTATTTGAAAATTATAGGCTGATTTTACATGTTTACAGGGGCAGTGTATTAAGGAATATATTTTGCATGACCTGACATCTTCAGGGTTGAGTCACATCCAAATTTTAGCCAATGAGAAATGTCTCATGTAACTGTAGCTGAATTTCTCATAAATCCAGGGCTTGATTCGTTGTATATTGTGAATGGGAGTTGGAAACTTTTCTGTGATTATCTTCCATACTGCTCAGATTAAATGCAACAGAGAGAATGAAAATGCTGTTAAAGTGGTTTTTCCAGGAAAGAACAGTTGCCATATTGGTTGCTGGACTAATGGTCAAGGCAAAGCTAAGCAGTTTGCATAATACCTGCAGACTGAAAACTTCAATACCATATGTTGTTATGGGCTGCTGTTTCTTCAAACCCTCTGCTTATAACAGAGAACACATGTGGCAGTATTATTCAAGTTTTACATGCATGATTGGTTGGATAATTTATTTTATTTCTAATTAACAGCATTTGTAGGCTTAATGTTCAAAACTTTTGTATTTGGAGCAACCTTTGCACTGCCGTTTCATATGAGTGTTTGAATTCTAATTCCGAGAGTTTCTGAGCAGTCTCTCACATTTTCTTAAGTGTCATTTGGTTTATAAGGATGAATAATAATATGCATAATTTCTGTATTTAATTATAAATGAGAATCCCTTGAGTCAAGCAGAACAGCTGAAAGTTACACTCAGAAAGTTATATTGCTATCACATGTCAGTAATCTGAGCAGTTCATGTGTTGCAGTGGTGGTGATTAATTGTGCAAGTTTATAAATACTAGCAGGCCATGATTTATATTATATTTGTTTCAGAACAATTGCAAGAAACAAGGATAGAAGAGAAATGTACAATGAACTTTGTGTTGATGATAAGGAAAGGTCACAAACAACAGTACAAGAGTTTGGCTGTACCTATTAATTCTGAGTTGGCTCTCAATTTAAAAAATCGTGAAGAAGTAAGGGCTTGACTTTTTAATTATTTTTGTTTCATACATCACTGAAGTATTGTATAAGATACTTTGGCTATTATATTTATCTCCTATAAGATTTACAAAACTGTACTACAGTTGATGAATGTTACAATGTTACAATATATAGAAATATATCTCTTTAACACTTCATTTCTTCCTTATTGTGGTATCTGTCTCATATTAATGTGTGGCACAGTGGTATGCATGTCATTCACATTCTGGAAGTATCCATGAATACTGGTTGTCTTGACTCAGGCTATTTATGGTTTACATCCCACATCTGCTGAAATTTGCCTGGTTGATTAAATTAACTGTCATGGTCTTTCTTAGGCTGAACGAGCTGAAAAGGAGCGAGTGAAACGCCTCACATTGGATATCAATGAAAGACTGGAAGAAGAAGATTATCAAGAAATGCTTGCTCAGGTATGTTTAAATATATGTAAAGTGGTATGGTCGTTCTTAGTTTATTTTAAGATTTATCCTGGATGCGATACCATCTTTACCATCTTGCTGTAGTGGTGCTCAAGTGCAAGCAGCGATATGCAGACGTGGAGTGTTATGGAGGAGCACTACTGGCTGTCTGTGTTCCATGCCTTTTGTTCTGAATGGCCGCATTCAATTTTTTTTTAGTGTTTCACAGTAAAAACATGGCTTTGCTCACAGTCAGCAGACTTGACACAGGCATACAAAAACTTATTTCCCGATACAGGTGCCTCAGTTCCAGTGGTGACTATGTTGAGAAGTAGCTTAAGTATAGTCACATATACAGGGTGATTCACGAAGTTTTACCGCCACTTAGGGAGGGCATTCCTGAGGTAATTTGGAACAAAAAATGTTAATATACTAATGGTATCCAACTCATAATTAAAGAGATACAGTAATTTGAAAACTGGTGAAAAATCTTTTCTTCTTCGAATTTCAGTCAAAACAAATTAGAAATACAATACAAACACTTTTTAAATCATTAATGTTTTAGGAAAGAAGCATGCTAAAACAATTTTTTTTTTCGATTTCTTAATTTTGCACTGTGCAACATTTTTCATCGATTTTATGTTACAAAATTACATTATTTTCAGCATCCCATTCTGTAAACATACCAATGGTTGCATATCACACCCTTCTATCAGTCTGTTTCCTTTAAACTGTAGTGCTTTAGAAGACGACTGGATTTACATAAGATTTTCAAAAATTTCTCCCCCGCACGTCAACACAATGCGTCGCATGCGTATGAACCATGCTCATAGCATTTTGCAGTTCCACATGTTTGTTCCTTATTGTCATCACCCCATCCAGAATACGTTCAAGCAACGCTTCACGTGTTTGTACCTTTACCTGGTACACAATGTTTTTCATCCAGCCCCAAATGCAATAAAATGAACGGCTCGATTAGCTGATCATACAGACCACACCAGACATTGACACTGAATCGGTGTTGAAAATTCGATTCTATTGTGGCACGGGGATTATTGTCTGCCCAAACATGTAAGTTGTGACTGTTGTTGACCCCGTCCCGTGTAAACTGTGCCTCATCGCAGAACATTATCAAGCGGTACAACTGCCGATTTCCATTTAACCAGTTGCAGAACTGCAGACGAAGAGCACGGTCTCCTGGTTGTAGGTGTTGTACTTGGTGTAAATGATAAGGATGCAGCCCAATCTCATGAAGAGTCCTCCATGCAATGGACTGAGAAACACCGAACTGCCGAGCTAGACGTCTTGTACTGGCACGCGGACTGCACTCTACAGAATCGAGAATGTTTTCTTCTTCACACAATTCATGTTGAGGATTTCGTTCGTATTGATACGAACGCTTGGGAGAGAACCAGTTTATCTTAATATATATGGACAAATACCGCCTTAAGTGCAACAATTTTATTGTAGTTTTTACTTCTTTTTCTTTTTCCTCCTCCACACTACATGTTTCGGCCCTAACTGGCCATCATCAGGTGTGTATTACTCACGTAGCTGTTACACTGCTTGTTAAAATTTAAAATCACCAGTCTTTCTAATTGTATAAAATCTTTGTTAATCTACACGCGTCGATTTGATTTTTAAAATTGCACTTTTTAAAACTTTAATTCAAGTTAAAATGTCTATAAGATCTCCGTTCTCTTTCTTTTTCAGATTTTTTAATTAAAATTTTTCAGGGTACATACCCTATATCTACGGTGCTGCAGCGGCCACTTCTTGTTTTTATCGCTGTTCATGTGTTGTTCTGTGTAGGCGCTCTCTGTGTGTGTCGCTGCAGAGAGCGCCTACACAGAACAACACATGAACAGCGATAAAAACAAGAAGTGGCCGCTGCAGCACCGTAGATATAGGGTATGTACCCTGAAAAATTTTAATTAAAAAATCTGAAAAAGAAAGAGAACGGAGATCTTATAGACATTTTAACTTGAATTAAAGTTTTAAAAAGTGCAATTTTAAAAATCAAATCGACGCGTGTAGATTAACAAAGATTTTATACAATTAGAAAGACTGGTGATTTTAAATTTTAACAAGCAGTGTAACAGCTACGTGAGTAATACACACCTGATGATGGCCAGTTAGGGCCGAAACATGTAGTGTGGAGGAGGAAAAAGAAAAAGAAGTAAAAACTACAATAAAATTGTTGCACTTAAGGCGGTATTTGTCCATATATATTAAGATAAACTGGTTCTCTCCCAAGCGTNAACTGGAACACTGCCTACTTACGTGCAACATTCCAGCCGGTCTGCGTTATCTGCTGACACAGCTGACTGGAACGCATGAGCTTCCAGTTGGGGGGGGGGGATACCACTGCATTCACAATGATGCGTTTCGAAAATCCATTGTTACTACGTAACTATTGAAAATTGACCACAAGTTTATAAGGAAATTTTGCAGGAAATAACCCCAGGAATATGTACCATAAGCCGGGGTAAAACTTCGTGAATCACCTTGTATGAGTTACTATAGATGGGTTTTGGATTGATGATTGGATTTATTGGACTCCCTGATACAGCATGTGACTACACTTCACAGTTCACTATTACACAATTACACACACATACACACACAGTGTCCACAGTCACATCCTCACTAGCCCTTGCTCGGTATCGGCTTCCAACAGTGAGTGTTCCCTGTCTTCTAGGTTCCTGAACTATCCCTAGCCTCAGCTACCAGCTTCGCACAGCAACAGCTTACAATAACTGAACCATGGCAGTTCTTTTGACTATCTCACTCCCCACCCTCACTGACTGACTAACTGCAGCTCCCAACTTGTCCTGCTTATAACAAATCAGCATGGACTGCACAGAGAACACCATTCCTCATCATTGTAGTTCAGTTGTTGACCTAGGAACATATTTGTTTGTGAAGAAGTTTCTCAGTAATGGCTGTTGTATATTTGCCTATTTCATGGTCCTTGCCCAGCAGTGGGTCTGCATGCCACAGTATGTATTTACTTTTTGTACATAACATTTTTTCCCTCTAGTGCTTGTTTTGGTAACAGCTCACTAGAGATTACTCTCTGAATAACTCTTGTACAATTCGTATAGCTTCAGTATCTCTCAACAGGAGCAACTGTAAAAAAAAAAAAAGAAGTAACGGTATCCATGTAACAGGCCATGGAGGCCCATAGGGTTTTGAGATGTTGAGGTTCCCACATTTTCTAGACAATTGGCTCACAGATGGCGACAAGGTTGTCAGCCCTACATGCCAGCTGCTCTTTACCCCTAAGAATATTCCAAGAATATTCCTGGTACTCATTTCTCTTAGAGGCTGATTCAACCCCAGTGCCATAGTGCAGCTGGAAGGATGAGGTCAATTGAAAAAAAATCCAGTGACCTCATCGGGACTTGAACCCGCAACCTTCCAGCTTGTAGCATAGTGCCTCAACCAACTATGCTACCATGTGCCCCTAAGAGCAGCTGTAAAGATATTTTAAGATGCATTCTGAGTGCAGACAGCATATATGGGTACAGGGAACTAACTTGAGGGCTTAGGAGAGTCCATGCACTCAGCTCTCATGTTTACATAAGTACAGGTGAAAGTCATGAAAGGACACATTGAGGTAGAGCATATTGTTGTAATTTAAATGTCAACTTCAGTCACAGAGTAAGTTTAGGGACAGGTATAGTTAATGTCGTGGCTGTTGGCACAGAAAAGAGGTAGAGGCTAGTGTGGTGGTTGTGGGAGTGGGGGTGGGAGATATATTTTGTATACAGTGTGTCTATTCAAACCAATGCTAGTGATAGGTAAAGCTTAAAATTCTTTGTCTTTTTATAGGGATTCTGATAGCTTTACTTAAGAGAGTGGTTATGCAAGTCAACAAAAATCTCATACTTGACTATGCCATCATGTACCAGTGTAAGTTTTCATCAGGGAATGTCATCTTGTGACAACCTTCTCCATTCTTCTCTGTCCTCCCATAAGTACTATTCCCCTACTCTGTTCTGTACATTTTCCCTCACTTGGTCTCTCCACCTTGACCATGAGAGGCTTGATGGTTTATTATCCATATTTTCATCATGTTTGCTCATGAGTGAATCTTTCTATTTATGTATAAATTAGGAATTACTTGAGGTTTAAAAGAAATGAGACTTATTATATTTCTGTAATAGAATTTCATCTATTGTGAGGAAAATTAAATGAGGTAAGACTGAATTTGTGCGTACAGCTGTGGACCTGTTGTTCATAATTCATCACATGTGTTTGTCTTTAGCTAATAAGCCCTTATTCCTGTTCTGCTGTATTGTATATAAATATGTTTACAGGAAGTGTACTTTGCCAAATTTATATGTCTAAAAATGAGCTTGTATTTTATGTTTCAGGCTCAAAGGCCAGTGGTCATGAATCTGAACAGGGAGAGGAAACACAAGTATCAGCATCCAAAAGGTGCCCCCGATGCAGACCTCATATTTGGACCAAAGAAAGTTAGGTGATGGGAAGGCTGCAGAGTGTAACATTTCAATTCTTATAGGTTGAAATCTATTACAAGTGGTAAGATGTGATGAGAAGGTACTGTTAACTTTTACATCATGTTAACTGTTACACCAGGAGCCGTTGACTTGAGTATTTGTTAGTGTGGTTAAGTGTTTGGGGTACTGTTTTGCAGTTGACCATCATATGGTCATGTTTATAGTGGTTTATTGAAGGATATGTGACCCAAGTTTTGGAAACAGATTATTTATTTCTTTAGAGGTTTATATTTCAGTTCTTTAATATCTTGGCAGAACTGTGAAGAAATCAAATGCAGTGACACTGAACGTAAGACTTGTGGAAATAATTGATGCCATCATATTTAATAAAACTGGCTAATAACAAAGTAATTTTAGAGATTGTTTTCCTTGTTTCTGAACAAAATCCAAAAGTGAATTTTCAAAAATATTCATCTAAGCCTGAATATTACAGGTTTTGTTATGGTTCGTTAATTTGCCAAGGTTGTTTTGGTTTGAGTAAAGTTGATATATTTTAAAATAAAGACAAATGGGAGGGCAGATGGAAACTGTAAGATGTCTTAACAGCTTATGGTTGTGGATAGCATGCAAGTCAAACAGTGAGCAGAATTTTATGAAGAATGCATTTCCTTTCATTTATTGTTTGAGGTATCACATTTTCTTAATGTTAATTTTAACTGTTAACACAAAAATACAGACAGACTGTGTTAGTCAATACCCCATTCATTTTTATGTGCATCTCCTACCACCTCACAATGTCCTATGGGGAATAATAAATTTAAAGACTAGAATCCTCAAATGGACAACATTTACTAATAAATAATTACTCAGACCATAAAATTATATTAGGAGAACCATATATAGAGAAAATATTTTTTTGGTGCGGTAGGTGCCAGTTACTCTTGTCATAATGTTGGATTGTGAAGTAAATTTATGACTTTTACAAAATCATTACTTCCTTAGATTGTCATGAGCATTCATAAATATAGTAAACTCCTTTATATGATAATATTCATGGGCCCAGATGTTTGAAATTTTGAATATGGTTTTCTAATAAGGTTATTTTTCCATTTCAGATTATTTTCACATTTTTATGGTTTTAGGTAATTATGAATCTGTAAAATTTTAAATACAAATTAATATTTACAGTGGAATTATGTTTACTGCTCCTCAAGGTACAGTGAATGTCCATTATTATGAAAGTGGTAATGACAGAAATAAGTAGATCAGGTGCAGTGAGGTACAGGAATGGCTGGTTTCTGTTTCTTTTAAAACATCACTTGAAATGTATGTACCATCACCATATTGGAACTTTTAAACACAAATAAGTTGAAACAAAATTTGTAGAAGTATTTACAATCTCCTCCTCATACAGAATTCTCTGCTGGTTTCTCGTGCTTTGAAAATGTGACTTGAAATGTATGTACTGTAACCATATTGTACTTACAAAAATAAAGAAGAAGAAGAAAATTTATGGAGATGTATATATTCTCCCTGTACTAATTTCTGCTTCCCTTCCATCTCAGACATATATTCATCAAAGCTTACCTGGCTTGTATATTGGGACTGGCTGTTCTTAGGATTTGCATTTTTCTTCTCTGTCCAAGAAAAACAGTACTCTCACAGGGGCTGTGACCCAGTCTGCTTCCATACTAAGGCCAGGGAAAGAAGTCTTGGATGGCAGGGATATGATGGCACTTGAGGTTTCCCCCTTTCTGCCTTCTGTTGTACTCCCCTCCAGCCCAGTCAGGCCTGTATCAACCAGAATGAAGCAAATGTCATTAATGAAAGTTATTTTGTGTCCATCACTACCAGCATCCTTGGAAAAACTGGGTAGATGTAAGGGTGGAGAGTTCTGTAGGGAAGTACACTGGTGGTTGAAGCATATTAGCTCAATGGGGTTGATCCATGGGGTTGTTCATGGTCTCAGTATAATTGCAGTGTTCTGACATTGCAAGTTATCAGATTCTATAGCTATATGCATTATCTTTAATGCTTATAGAGTGGGTTTAAAGATGGATCAGCATATATGGTTATGTGCACTCGGAATGCTGATAGATATTGGTCATCAGAAAATGTTGATATACTCTCCATAGTTATTTGTTTATGAAATTTAATATTTCATTGTACTGAAAAAGAGGAAAATTGGGTTGAATAGCTTACTTTAAGATCCTAACAG